GAGGGGGGAGGGGGGAGGGGGAGTTGGTCTAACTGTAAACACGCATGAACATCTATACTCATAAGTTGTATATATGCGACATGTATGGTGATATTATGTTGTTTCTAAATGTGAGTGTAGTTGTAGGCGTAGTGTAATCACTGTGACCGAAGCATTTAATCTAAGTATTTTTTGTGTACAATCAGTCTCTTTTGGTATGGTTATTTTGAAATCGGATTCTTGAAGAAGCTTTGATGTGGTGGAGCAGACGTTTGACGAAACTGTTTGAAATGATAATAGTTAAACGTCTATTTCTTAAGACAGATTCGCCAATTTCCTTTTCTTTCCCTCGATCCCATTTTCAAAAAATCATTTTTATTATATAAACATTTAAGACTATGTAAAAATATACGAAGTGAAACACCAACTACTGAATAATTATTACAAAAGGAATTAAACAAGTTATTGTCTCTAGTTATGATATGATATTTTTTGTGTGTTTTCCTACGAAGTCTCTATGCTTCTCACAATCTTAGCTTCAGTGAAGTGCTTTTCTACTCGTACCACCAAATTTGTCGTTTTGGTTCTAGTTGCTGTTCAGCCAGCATGCTCTTCTTTTTATTTCTTATCGATATGTCAAAGAGTTCCCATATAACATGTTTTGGTTCTGGTTCAAGTGATGCTTTGCATGTGATGTTTTGTTGCTCGTTTTTGAAAAAGTTTCGGGTGAACCGCAGAGACAGAACAGGTAACAGACAGCCCAGTAAGCGAGTTAGAAGGTGTTGATCTACTGAATTGGCTAGTTATACAGCCTTGGAAAACGTGAACTCTTAAAGATCGAATGCGCTTTTTTTAAAAGCAGATCCACTTTCCATTAAAACTGGTAGAAATGGCCGAAGTTCCCCTTTATTCTTTTCAAATAGTATTGTAGCTTGGTCATTTCAGCGACATATTTCATCTGTCATCTCTGCTAGTTACGCTTTTCCGCTCCTCTCACGATTTCTTTGGAGTACCCTATAAGGTAGGGAGGAGGGAAAGTATTGCATTTGGAGAAACGCTTTCTTCCAACTGAGAGTCATAAATTGCGACTGTACACCTCAAAACACACATAGTATTAGGTCGATAAGCCCGAAGTCATGGTAACAACGGTGAGATGGGAAAACGTTAAATGAGACACAATGAACAAGTAAATCAGTCCTTTGCTCCTCCTGAAGAGTTGCTTTATGAATTACATGGACAATAAATCAGACTCCTATCTTTTAACAATCGTAACTGTTTCATTTGAAGACATTCACGCACCTGCAAACTAAACAGATACGCCAAACTCTGATGATGTAGCTACTTTTTCTAAGGATAGATTGGCATACATAGACTAACCAGTATCTCCCCAGATTCCCCCACAGTTTGACAAGCTTCATTTCCACTCTAAACTCGGTTTCAGCTTTTTTCTCATGTTCCTGTCTCTACATCTAATTTCTCTCTCCCCCCCCCCCCATATGTCCAGGGGGTTTCTGTTTCAGGATTCATAATATACTATTTTCAGGACATTGAGAGGCACAGGCTTTGTACACATGTCTTTATTATTTTCGATGAAATGTGTAATTTGTTTAACGCCTCTTTTAAAACAGAAAGAAGATAAGGATCTTCTCTCTCTGGTACAGCTAAGCCAGAAGGGTGGTGAGCCATGTCTTATCTTTAAAAGAAAGCAAGTAAAAAATTAAGGTCAAATTCGAGCTGACGCACCGATAGATCAGTTGAAATCGAGCTGGACTATCCTGCGGATGACCTTGGTTCGAACTGAAAAGGACATCTTTAATGTTCGGTTGTGTGAGAAGTTTTCTTTGCTCTTTGCCACCTCAGCTCTGTTCCATTTCGAGATGGACGTTGCATTTGGAGGTCTTGACTCTTAAAAAGTCTTACAGTCTTAAAACTAGCGTTAAACAAATGCCACACCATACCATCAAACAGTCTATCCTGATAGTTTTGGACAAAAACTATCCTAACATTGCAATTCTCCACACTTATCGCCGAGTCTCTGAAGACGAAAGCCATGTTGATATAGAGAGAAACAGAATGCAGATTTCCTCCCCTCAGCCCGACAGATCTCCCTCGAGTGTGGCCTTAGCGCCTTCACAACAGATCTCAGCCACATCCCCATGTCCCAGCGATGTACTGCCACAGAACTACAGGCTCAAGTACCGCTCGCAGACTTTTGCCTTTGGCTTCCATAGAACAGAACGCTCCAAGGTAACCGTGTTACAATGGTTTTGTTGAAAAGAACTGCGGACAATATATTATAATGTTGATTCATGAGTTACTTTGTTCTTCGTGATTTAAATTATCTTCACAAACAATATTGATTCATGGGTTATTTAGTTCTTCATGAATTGAGTTATCGCGGTGGTTTTGAAGAAAATACCTTCTTCCTTCAAGGAGTGATCTACAAACCAAAGTCTTCGGAAATATCCTTAATAAAACTTGGTTTTGAAATATGTGTATTGTGTTGTTGGCTGTCCCCTTATACAGTTGGATCAGAGCCAAGCTGATCGGTAGAGTCATGTAACTGATGTTGTTTTTGAAAATATTATTATGCTGTAAGTATTGTACGTTTCTGACAATTTATTTCTAATGTTTTTGAAGATTATGAAACTATTTTGTCCAACACATTAGATTACAAAATTATTCTGTTATTAGGGTCTTGCCTTTTGCTGTAGTCACTACAAGCATGTATGAAGTTAGTTTTTTTAAATTGTGCTATTATAATGTAAAGGTTTAATTTATGTAGCCATATGAACTATTGCCTTAAACAACCGCTTTATCGACTGACAAATGTTTGTTGAACACTGCCGGGAAACAGGCGTTTGACTAGTTCATAAAACTGAATTAACTTTACATTGTTAATGCACTCAGTATGTATGGTGACCTTAGTTGCTAGACATTTTTATACATTTGTTGGACACGTTTTTCTTTTCCTTCTTTTTATTTTTTTTTACATAGTTTCAGTTATGCTTCACACCTGCTTTTACACATGTCCCCACAATATTTTGAAATTTCTTTTCTTTTGGTTGTGAGCCTTGTTTAAGATCTTCTATGTAAGAGAAACGTTATGTTTTCCAAAAGTTATGTTTATCATACACCCGTTTTGATTTGTTTTTACCAATACAGAGTTTTCCTCGTGGTAGGTTTGTATCGCAGTTGATCTCATTTGCACCATAGGTAGTGCATGCGTCACATAATATGTTGAATGTTGAATAGCAGAAACATGTTTTTCATTATTTTCATTTCTTAGAATATAAAGTGTACAATACTGTGTTGCTATCATATTGGCCTAGATATTTAAAAGAACACATCATTGTCACTTACCCCTTTATTCAAACTGTGTGTGTATGTAGCCTCTGTTTGGTTCGTTCCATATTGAAGTCATATTAGACCAAAGCAACCGCGTGCCCGAATTCCAATCAATTGCTCATTGGTAAAATAAGATAAGTTTAGAAAACTTTATTGAGATATTACGTGGAATTATATTGCGCAAACACTGGTAAGTTTGAAAAAGACTGATCTCTGAGCTATAAGAGTTTCGTGAAGTCAAACAGTGAGACTCAGTTAGACCTATACCCAGTTGTAGAGTGGCATTACGGGAGTTTATAATTGTCTATTTTCGGTCTTATTATACTGGTCTGCCTACCATCCAGCTTGCCCCTGTATCAGACGTCTGTTTTCTTGACCCCACCCACCTCTTTGTTTTGGTTTTTGTCCTTGTTTTTTGTGGTCTATTTGCCGCCTCCTCTTCTTTGTCTGTCTCAGTATATTATTACGTACGTGTCTGTGCGCCTGTGAGTTTTACTTTTATTCTCTCTCTCTCTCTCTCTCTCTCTCTCTCTCTCTCTCTCTCTCTCTCTCTCTCTCTATCCCTCTCTCTCTGTCTCTCACCCCACCCCCCGCTTCCGAATGTTCATATTGCTTTAAAACTATCCCTTAATACATAATACCATACAATGTGTTTTGGCATTTCTATAGCCCTACGATAATCTCCACTTTAACTCTTCCTTCTTTTCCTCTCCTTTGATATGACTTCAACAGACCTTCTTAGGAATAAAGGTGGAAAAAGACTTGGAGCGTCGACAGAAAGACCGGAAGGGAAGAAGAGTCCAGTTCGGGGAAGTAACTCCACAAAGTACAACTCAGTTTGGCAAGCAGTGCTCTCCCTTCCACGCGCTCACCACACCGGTATGCAAGGCTTCACTGGTTGGGCTTTCAGTGCGGCGCGTGTGTGTGCGTGTGTGTGTGTGTGTGTGTGTGTATTTGTGTGTGTGCGTGTATGTGTGTGTGTGTGTGTGTGTGTGTGTGTGTGTGTGTGTGTGTGTGTGTGTGTGTGTGTGTGTGTGTGTGTGTGTGTGTTTGTGTATGTGTGTGTGTGCGCGCGCGCGCGAGTATGTGTTTAAAGCAAAAACCCACAACACACTCTGTTAATAGGAGGTTTAATTCCCCTAGTCCCCTCTCCTCCTATCCACCTCGTAGTTGCAGGTGGAGATTCTCCTCTGAATTTGAAAGCATAGATGTACATAAATTGTGATATCTTTTTGTGCTTCACCCTTTTTCTCTTCTTCATTCTTACACGTGGAATATGTCTGCTGGATTGCGTGCAGAAAAACAAAATTTCGAAAGCCTTGCTGGGCGTTCTTGAAATAGAGAAGCTTTTCATGATTCTCTGTCTTCTTAGCTGGGTCCTAAAATGGGTATCTTCTCCTCCTAAATAACTGATATCGAAAGGGGCGAAAAATCCTAGCTAAATCCAATGGTTTTTAATATCAATTTGAGTAAATTTTTTTCCCTCAAGTATATACGAAAGGGCCTTTTCCTGTTAATCCCGTATTTCTTTGATCTGTTCACTGCTTCGCCTGAAATTTGAGAAACTCTTTGGTGATAATATAATAACTCACGTTTAGAAGTGGAGGTGTTAATCCATACCGTTTTGTTCCCGCCCCAGACCTGGCGCGAGGTGGAGCTCCCTGACGACATCCCACTGTCCCAGAGAATGCTCAACCGTGGTTACACCGGCAAAAACCTCACCATCAACGACATCAAGTCCATGGACTTCTCCTACGGTCTTCCTGAAACGCCCCCACAGACTCGGGGCCAGACCCCGGGTAACGCCAGAGGCCTGAGTACCCCGGGCCAGCCTCTGTCTTCTCGTCAGGACAAAGGTGCCCGCTTGTTGCTCCCGCCTATCAAATCTGGACGGTCAAAATCAAGTTCGAGCAGTGTGCGCGGGAGTGTAGGTGGGTTGAGGAAGTCATCCACCGTGCTGTGAGGGGATGTTTTATTCTACTGCCATAATATGCTGTGCACGCACCGACACTCTACGAAGTCGAACGTCATACTTTGTAGTCACCAACCGTCCTAATCCTTTTAATAAAAATGAAATCTCTGCTTTGATTAGCTTCAGGTACAAGTGCAAATAAAACTTTGATCAAATTCTCTAAAATCTCGCCAAGCATCATTGCCATTCCCTTTCTTCTTTTCCCCCTAAATCATCTTGATGTTCCAGCCAGAGAAACTGAATTCATAAAGCTGGGTAAACTTGACGAGCTCAGTCATCCATAAATATGTATCGTGTTTTTTTTGTTCAGTTGACTTGGAATTTTTGGACTGGGTTTGATTCTGTACAGTACCAAGCAGTTTGTCCAGACCTACGTAAACGCTTCTAATGCTCGACGAGTTTCACTCTCTCCAATAGGTGACATCACTGTCGAGTTGTGAACCCCCAATCGCGGTGTCGTAATTCACGTTCTTTTGATGAAATAAGTTTATCTTTCCAGTATGGTTAATTTGCTCAACTGTTTGGACATTAGAGCTGTTGTATTTAAAGTGTCACTCTAATATTTGTCTCCTAAGGGCTTGAACATAAATACTTTCCAGTGGGAGAACCTAGCTCCTGACAGACCCAGCTGAAGAGCAACAGTCACAATGGGCAGACAAGCATAATATGAGGCTTCTGGAATAAAAAATGCTGAACCAAGAGAGAAGCCCAAAAGCTGCCCGCATCCACAAATGAAAGTGAAGCTTTTAAATGTTCAAAATGTGGCAAATTTTTCTATGTCCGAATTGGTCTCATCGGCAACAGCAAAAGCCGTAAGTCATCTTAATTTCTTCTAATTCTTCTATTTAGCTGGAGAAATATTTTCTTTCACGGATGTATTGGTCATCGTCTGACATTGAAAGACGAGCTGTTATTGTTGTAACACTTGTAGTGCTCTCTGAAACATTCATTCTACTATCAGAGTCTATTTTCAGAACCCACGGTATGCCTTCGCCTTATACCCACGGTTAGAACCCCACTCCCATCTTTTAATTCAATGAGTAAAAGCACATCCCCCCAAATAAACTGCTTTTTTCAAATTGTTGTCTGGTGCCTCAGTTCACAGTTTACACACTAGGAATGTATATTTTACATAATCATATAGATATTTTTCTTTGCACGTAAATAGTTCTGTTTTAATCCGTCCTCATGCAATTCGCATTACTTTGTTGTTCACTTTGTGAGAGACCAGTCTTTCCGAATTAAGGTAAAAGTGCCGTCCAGTTGTAAAGACATAGTATTTAATATTTATGAATATGTTGTATGTTACGCACTACAGCAAGGTTTCTTTTCTTAATAAATATCTTGTAAAACAGTGTTTTCTAAATGTCTTTCCAGCACTATTGTCATGATCTGAGTTGTGAAGTCATGTCTGTGATACAGGTTTTAAATGTAATGCGGTCAAATCTAGGTTTATTTTTGAATAAATAAGAGACCACTTGTTAATGCTGTGTGTTCATGCGTTTTTCATTATTTTATTTTTGAGACATTGGCGGGAACATCACAAAACATGTCTCACCACTGCCCCAATGTAGCAACATGCGTCGGAAACAAACTTATTATACAAAATAAGAAACAACACCCCCCCAAACAAAAATGTTAGATAAAAACAAAACAAAATTACAACAACACACGCTAAAAAAATATACAGCATTTGTATTTTTGCATTGTCCTTTGATTTGTCGTCGGTGTTGCGGCAAGTCTCGCGTTGTACTATGAACCATAGTGCAAGAACAGTTAATGGTTGTCTGTATGTCATCTGCAGCTCTCTGTATACAACAGCAAAATGTCTGTGGTAATCGCTTTGCAAGAGACGGGAGCTATATGTTCACGTAGGCAAGATATTTCATAGAATGCCTTTTGTCCTTTTGTTTGGATGTGTCCTGCATAGCTAGTTGATCTTAACTGACAAGTTTGAAGCAGCCCGCTCCCTGATTTGATCTATATTGTGTCTACATTAACAGTTATTTACAATAATTTGTCACTTCAGCTAGATGAAAAAAAAGCACACCGTAGGACGACAATTGTAGAGTGGAAGTGTCATTGCGCGCGTGTTGCTTATTCTGGATTCTCAAAAGACCTACACATTATTTTCTCTCGGTTTGAATCATAGACATGACAACATTAAAGAGATTTCTTTTTACCAGTACAATAAGCCGACTATCTTATATTGAAACCCAAAGGAAATTTACCAAGACACTGACCTCGTGAAAAAACGTTTATTCTCATTAGAATGGAATTGTTCTAATATCCTTTTAATCACGTCTAAGAAATGAGACTTCCAATGTAACGCCCACCTGGGAGAAAACAAAGATAAGCTGCATGAAAGACTATGATAACATGCGCGTACTATCTCTTTATAGAATATTATTTTTCTACGTACTGAACATTTGTCTGAGTAATCTCTCTAAACCC